CTCCTTTGACAGCTTGTTAAATCGTTCATTGCTAAAACCACTGAATGAAGTACCACATTGTCACTGAAAGGTACATGCATTAATTTAGTGATGCAGAACATGTATAAGTGTTGTTATGCTTGATTTAATCTGCTGCTAATTCTGTTTTGCACTGCTGGAATTGCAGCTACTAGAAGAAAGACACCAAGAACACCTGTTCAATCAATACAATTAGTTTCACTTTGACTTCCAGACAAACAATTTCTGCATCGCCTTTGTTAGGCTATAAGACAGTAGTCTGCATTCAGTTTAAAGTTTTAGAAATCTAATCTGAGACAAATCACCTTAGAAATAAACAGCAACACTAAGCGTGCACTCAGCAATAAAGTAATATACTCAAATTAAAATCCCAAGATTAACAATTTTCTGCCACATTAATCTGTCTTATTTGCAACAGAGTTATGTTTTACTGCTATATTTTTTCTGTTCTTTATGAAATTGTAGACGACATTCTATCATCATTATGATCAGATAATGTCTCTGACCACCAAGGATCATTTTGGGCAAAACCCCACTCTTTGAATGCAAGGGCCAGTCAGCAACAAACTGGTGTTCACTTAACCTAATCCTAACAGGTTTTTGTTACATCCAGTTAAGCATGCCAATCCAAGTTGTTCCTGTGGTGTGGCCAATGTGCATGTTGCAGCTTGTGGAGGCCCGCAAGGTTTCATTATTGATCCATTCAAAGCTGAAAATCTCTAAATGAGTCTTTCACAAGAGCCTAAGAAATATAAGAAGCATCTCATTTCCTGCGTGATCTTAATCGATTCATGCATTCAAAGTGCCCTGCTCACCCACAGCCATATGGGAAGAGCTGCTGTTGATTCTTCTCTCACAGGAGAGGTGAAGTCTAACGTAATCTGATTAGATCCTGGCTCACTGCCTGCTGTTTGTACAGTATTGTTTTTCTTCTGCTGCCAACTGAAACTTTGATAGCTCTTCCAAATAGCTTTGGATCCCAAATTTACAGAAAGAGGAATATGGTAATTGCATTACTGTGAAGAATAAAAAATTTGAAATGGAGGATTAATGGCCTTTTAGAATGTGCCTGCTGCACATGTAGGATTACTCTTGTGCCTCTGATTCTCAGTAGTATCACTTGATCTTGGTTGGAAAAGTATGTGCAGATCTGCTTTCATTTTCAGGGTATTCCCTTGTCAGCCCGTCTTGACAGACAAGAACAGAAGGAAGAGTGGGTGCCATGTTCTTTGATATATCTGTGACAATCACAGAATGCAGGATATACTGGAGGGAGCAGATGAAATGCTGGATAGAAACACACAAAAATATTACCGAATTTATAGTCTTTTATAAGTGACCAAGGGGCCTCCGTACTGTAGGAGTCATAGCCATTTTTGTTTTGCGGTTGAGGAAATAATGGATAGGTTGATTGTGATTTTATTCCTAACATGAGCTAGCCTCAGTGGGGTTTGTATGTACAGCACCCGGCCTCTCTCTAGTTGCTTGCTTTCCCCTCGCCCTTGTGATTAGATCTGTTAGTAGACATATTGGTGCCCTCTGCACCAATTTTCATTCCCCATTCCCTGTTTTTTTGCCTCTTTAGTGGATCCCTTGTTGGGGGCTCTGAGCCTACACATTTCCTCTGCTGGGCTACAGTGGACCAGCAGGGGAAACGGATGGATGCTGGATCTGTTGGGTGGGATTGCAGGGGGGGAGGTTGAGCGGGTGGTTGTTGGCTCTGCTGTTGCTCCCGGGTATCTAACCTGGTGGGATTGAACTTTACCTGTATTGCTTCTTACAATTTTTATAATGTATAGCAAAAGCCTAGCACATTCAAACATAAGATTCATAATGACTGTATTTATGTAGAGGAAATTAGGGCTTCCTATAGGTTTTGGGGGTTAGTTGGGATGGTGGTGGGAAGTCATATCATATGGCATGTGGGGGGTAGTGATGAGTTGATTCTCCCCTGCCCCACCTGCCTTTCAATCTAATGCAACTCAGTGATCCCTTTGCACACTTAGGTGGGGCTCACACAGAGAAATAAAAATTAGTCAACTAGAATAATATACGTAATTAGCTATAATAATTTATAGATGTTCCCCAATCAAAAAATTGGTGGACATACCTGGATATTATTTTGTCCTCATCTGTATATCATTTCTATCTTAATATTCCTAATATTCATCTCTCCTTTCTTTTCTTTCTGTTTCTCCCTTGCATTACAGCGGAGCCATTCACGCCACTCTCCAGGGATTCATCTAGCTGTATGTACATTCTGCCAAACAATATTCTTCTTTACTGCTATTGACAGTATGGTTAATTTATAGGCTCAGGCTTGATGGACTCTTAAAATCAGTGCTATAGGAACAAATCCAGAAACTCTGATGTTACCATCAAGACTTACACTGACACACGTCAATATTAGGTCATGGGAATTATCATGTGTAAGACGATACATTAACCCGATATATATTAAATACTGCTTTAAATTTGTCTCAGCAGAGTCTTAGCGAAAATGTGTTTCACTCATTAGCTAGTTCTGATTGAAACTACTCAGTTTATTTTACTTTGCATAAGTTAGGGTAGAAAAACACAATTATCCCATGAAACATACTTATGGTTAAGTATACAGAAATTGTCTGAAAACATGCTTCAGTTTTCCTGGTCAAACTTGGAAGGAGATATGTTTAGTTTCAAATAATAAAACTATCACAAAGAAAAGAAATCCCTATTGTTAGCCCCTCCATGAATCGCTATCTTATCGTGGTGGAGGGGTTTGTGTGACCCATGTTCTCAGGGGTTTCCGTAGGGGTTGGATGTATTGTGTGTTAAATGGTGGACCGATTCCTCCGTACTGAGACTACCTTTTGGGACATGGGATGTCACCTCTCTGGTGAGGAAAGAGCCTGAGTACGTGCATGAGGTCAAGAGGTACCAGTTAGATATAGTAAGGCTCACCTCATTGCATGGCTTGGAAAGTCTGGAACCAGTCTCCTGGAGAGGGGCTGGACTCAGTCTGGAGTTGCCCCTAGTGAAAAGCAACTAGACACTGCTTACTCCCAAAACACCTCCCACAGGACACGAAGGACAGGATCGAATACCTTCTCCAAGTCCACAAAACACCCGTAGACTAGTTGGCCAAACTCTCATTTACCCTTGAGAGGGCAAAGAGCTGGTCCGCTGTCCCACGACCAGGACGAAAACCGCATTGTTCCTTCTGTATCCAAGGTTCGACTAACGGATGGATTCTCCCACCCCGAGACAGACTCTCCCAGGGAGGGAGAACTTTTATCCCTGTACAGTTGGAGCACAGCCTGCTGTCCCCCTTCTTAAAGATGGGAACCAATCTAGAGTTTACCAGCGGCACTGTGGTTAGCACTGTTGCTGTAGAGCAAGAAGGTCCAGAGTTCAGTTCCACTGTCAGGCTGGGGTCTTTCTGTGTGGAGTTTGCATGTTCTTCTCGTGTTTGTGTGGCTTTCCTCTGGGTATTCCGGCTTCCTCCCACAAAGACATGCATGGTGATAGGTTAATTGATTAATCTAAATTGCCCATAGGTGTGAA